ACGTGAATCAGGTAACAATATATTATTTATTTGTTTGTACTATACCCAAATTTACATTATAATTATTTGTTTGTATTATTTATGTCACATCCCGACTCGAGGTGCACCACATCCCAAGCCCGCTCCACCATCGTAGCACGATATTGTCCGCTTTGGGCTTACCATTCCCTCACGGTTTTATTTTTGGGAACTCACGAGCAACTTCCCAGTGGGTCACCTATCCAGGGAGTGCTCTGACTTTCTTCTCGCTTAACTTCGGAGTTCCTACGGAACCCGAAGCCAGTGAGCTCCCAAAAAGCCTCGTGCTAGGTAGGGATGTGAATATACATTTAAGGATCACTCCCTTGAGCGATGTGGGATGTTACAATCCACCCCCCTTAGGGGCCCGATGTCCTCGTTGGCACACTTCCGGCCAGGGATTGACTCTAATATCATTTGTCACATCCAGGCTCATGGCGGATCATTTCCCCGGTCCGCTCCACCACCGTAGCACGATATTGTCCGCTTTGGGCTTACCATTCCCTCACGGTTTTATTTTTGGGAACTCACGAGCAACTTCCCAGTAGGTCACCCATCCTAGGAGTGCTCTGGCATCCTTCTCGCTTAACTTCGGAGTTCCTACGGAACCCGAAGCCAGTGAGCTCTCAAAAAGCCTCGTGCTAGGTAGGGATGTGAACATACATTTAAGGATTACTCCTCTGGGCGATGTGGGATGTTACAATTTATTTGTTACCTACTTTCGTTATAATTATTTGTTTGTATTATTTATTTGTTATCTACTTTCATTATAATTATTTCTTATCCCGTATAGTGTAGCAACTTCAAGCACAAGCTTGGTATGGTGCCAAAACCAAAAGTAAAAATAAATCATTCAACCGGTGGGAATGTTTATTCAAAAGACATTGAAACACACCAAATAAAATTACTTAAACATACCAAATAATAAAAAACTCACTAAATGAACTAAAAAAAACACACCAATTTATTGTATCAATTCCCACTGTATCAGATCAATTTGCGGGGCATTGTGCATATATAGCCTTTGAAGTGCAGTATATCGTTGAATGATCAATTCATTGTAACGTCCATCCCTTTCTAATGGTTCATGTTGCACTAGTTTTTCGGTGGCGTCATGAGCACAAATGTCGTTCCATTCTAAAACGACGTATAAAGTACGTATCAAGGAATGCACTTATGAACAAAATAATCATCCAAGAGTTCCGTACCTCGTCGTTGCCTGCTTCTATCAAGATTTCCGGAATGGCAAGGCCTGTAGATCTGACCCACAGCTTGGATGATTTGACGGGAATATGAGGCTCTACCCATTCTTGCTTCGTCATCTCTCCTTCTACGCTCCTCATCATCTTCCCTCTCATTTTGGGCCATCTGGAGATTGAACATTCCTTATGATTGGTTAAACAATTGTTCCACTCGCTAATCGATTTCCCACATCATCCTTGAAGAAGAAAACATTGTAAAAATGAAGCAGAAACTATGAATAATGATAGAGATTTTGGTGAAAAATGAAGCAAAAACTATGAATAATAATAAAGATCTTGAGAAAATTGGTGTGAGATTTGTTAGGATAGATGGTGGATTATATGGAGGATTCAGAAAGGATTAGGTTGTAGATAATGCTACGTGGCATGCCGTCATTCGTTAAAAATCTAATAGAAATCTATTCTAAAAGATTATGACACGTTGCGCCTGGAAATCTATTCTAAAAGATTATGACACGTGGCGCAACGTAATTGGTTAATAATATTATCAGAAATCCATCACCAATAATTGTATTTTCAAATAATGACACATGTCGCAACAAGTACGATAAAAAATCTTATCGGAAATCCATCACCAATAATTGTCTTTTCTGATTTTATGACACGTAACGCAACAAGAACGATTAAAAATCTTATCTGAAATTACAAATAAAATTATTTTGTATTATTTTATAACTTTTCGAATAATGACATGTGACAACAATAACAATTAAAAATCGTATCGAGAATCCATCACCAATAATTGTCTTTTTGGATTTTATTATAAATAAATAAAATACTAATATTTTATTACCTATTGCCAGGGAAGAAATTATTGTGTGGTACAAAAATACCTTGAAGCATAAGCCCGTCATCTTGTATTATAACACGTAAATTGATTATATCATTTGATTTAGTTCTCGACCAATAGTGTGTTATCATCAGTGCATTACATTGTAATCGCGAAAGCTAAATTAATTCCTTGCTCCTGCAGAAAGAAGCAATAAATTCATAACATCCTAACACACATGTTAGCTTAGATAATTAACCTAGGAATAAATTTTAATCTTTTGGTAGCAGAGATAACGCTTTTCTACAACAATCCCTAAAAGAAATTTTATCGCAGCTAAACAAAATGCCACTAGAGAGACGAATCTAGTAACAAAAGTCAAGACATCCACTGGTTTTAAAGAAACCTACTAGTGCATGCACCAAGCTAGATATCAGAAACAACACATTTCAACTCTACTCATACTCAATGCCTTCCTCGGCCGCAGCAGCTGCATCAGCATCAGCAGCCATTATCTCGTCGAACTTCTCTGACTTTCCAAGCAGTATTTCAATCTAAATAACAAAGAAAATCATATGATACCATCATCAATCTCCAAGACAAAGGTACAGTAATAAATTACTTAACTGTACAGTAATAAATTACTTAACTAAAGTAATGTAATGCATTGTGATGTCCAAAATAAATCGTTACATCATCCAAGTTATGAGAAAATGAAAGTGTAGAGTGAGCAAACCAGCCCTGAAACTTATAACTAAATTGAAAAACAACCCTGTAGAATCAACCCTGGTTAAACAAGCACTTGAACAAAAAGACAACCAAAACAAATACTTATGGTCCAACAAAACTAAACCCACATTTTGCTTTCAAGGTCTAACAATTCAACTAAATTGAATAAGCTATCTGGACAGTCCGATTATTTGGCGCCGGCACTTAAGTGTTCAAGTATAGAAGCACCTATAAATTACTCAAACACCATGACCCGCAAAGAATGGGCTGACCATCATGCAGACACAAGTAATTGTATAGATATAGAAACAAGCAGACTTTGAGAAGCACGTGCCTCATTTTCGTCAATGAGCACTTTTTGACTAATATGAACCCCATTTTCATTTAAACAATGATGATGTACGTTCCCATAGACCTTGCTAACATCTAAGAAAGATTTGTTGTTAACATCAAATAATGTTTCAAGGACCCTGAATTTTGGTGCATTACGTCCCCATTCTGCCGACTTAGGTTAATGAAATGCCAATGCAGATACCAGAAAGTTTCAAAGCTAATACATGATTAAAATGTACCTTTGCCTTTTGAATGGGCCGCCCTCCTGCATCTTCCCTCATGTCAATTGTAGAAGTCATGATTCCTGTATATAACAACAGCAAGTTAAAACATACATGAGTAACAATTACCACAAAATAAATATGTAACAAAAAGAAAAGAAAAAAAAAGAGTATCGAGAAGGCGCAAGAATCATACTCTTCTCCAAAGCCAATCCATTGTTCTTCAGAATCTCAGCAATGGTAACAACTGTGGCAATAGCTGTAGATATACAACAAATTGGGAAGCCATGGTAGTTAGTACAAAAAAGATACCAAGCCTTCACCTCAATTACACCGAACATATTCAACAATTGACATAGCCGAGAAAGAATTGTGGACAAGCCAATGCCTAGGCAGCAGTAGGATTCTAATCCATAACCACACTCGCGAGAGGAGAAAGAGTAGGCAAAACGAAGACAAAAGTATCTGCAACCCAATAATCACTCGAACCAGAAAAAATACCAGGCCAAGGTGAAGAAAACAATACCCATTCCAAGAGCGGAGAGCTCCACCTCATTGTTGTGCTGCATGTACCTCTGCAAATCCAGATATAAAACCACTGAATCACTCAAAACTCAGTAGCTTCTGGTTTTGTAAATAATGGGGTTTCTCAAAAGGAGAAAGGTGGACATTTGGTTTTTGTTACCTTGGCGAGATTGACGTAGAAGAAGAGGGGCTTTTTGGTGTTGGAGACTTGGATGCGATTCTTCTTCTTGTTGTATGATGCGTCTGTAATTCGCAAGTTGTTCACTCCTTCTGCGAGACCCTCCATTGCTTCTTCCTTCTTGGTTGGTCCTGCTGAGAGAGAAGATAAAACCCTAATTTGGTCTCAACGGTGCCTCCGAATTCTCTCTGGTGGCTTCTGCAAGTCAATACGCTGTCGTATTATACATAATTGGTTTGAAGTGGGACATGTAAACTCATCTTGCTGAAATAACATTTTTATCCTCCCAATTTCTTACTTTTTAAGTTTTAATAATAAAAGCGATTTTCAACTTTGAACTAATTGTTAATCTAATTGCACAATGGGATGTGTTATCCAGGCATCAATTTTTACTTCTCAAACTGCTTAATTTTTGTCTTTTAATCTTCTTTAATTTATATGATTCGACCAAAAATTAAAAAAGTGTGTGGATATCATACCCATTGCACAACGAAACATTCAAACTTGGATGCATAAGAAGATCATGTTTAGATCGGAATTTATTGTGTTTGCAAGTTTGAGGTTTTCTTCAACACAGTCCAATTTACTGCAATCAAGTAAAACTGAATCCAATTTAGGTGAAGAAAATTGAAACTGATCGATTAGGATGTTCATGACACAATGCATTTTCGTGAACTACATTTATCCATGGAAAAGAATCATATCAATTTTTTTTTTTCTAGCTATTTTAATGATGGTAATATGGTATGATGGAGAAAAACTAGAGTAAGGCAACCCAATCAATCAGCTAGTGAAATCATTCCCAACTGGTCAGGTTGTACATTGTATTGCGTAGTACTCGCTTGGATCCGTTCGTCCAACTGGTCAGGTTGTACTACCAAAGTTTTTCTCCACGCTTCATCATATTATCATTCATGTGAACATATTGCATAAAAAATGGGCTCCAAATAAGTGTAGATGTAAGATTATAGAAAATGTGCTCAATAAATAAACTTAGTAACAGAGGCTGTTTGTTTAATGAAAGAATCTGTATTTCAATTGTAGTAACAATGCTTGCATACATCGACCAAAACAAAAGTGGTCCTAAAAATACAGACCAAGCAGTGAAATAAATGGCTTTTTGTATCCTCCCTCTTGACAACAACCATAACAATAATACTGCACATCAATGACCAAGATCATCAAAGTTCAAGAAAACACATTTCAATAGCAAACAATAAATACTTGACAACGGGGCAACATAACCGATACACAAGGCGTTCTCTCATTGTTCTTCCACCCGACTCCCTTCTGGACGCGGAGACCATACGTAGAAGTTCAGTAGACGAATTTACCTGATTTCTTGTATGTAGTATATTCACACCGATGGCGTGGAGAGAGATGCCAGTTCCAAAAAATTAGTCCTTGAAACGAACTAACAGTTGATGCCACATTGACCGTTTGTTGCAGCTTTTGTTTTGTCTGAAGTGAATGGGTCGATGCGCACCCATAACAAGGAAAATATTGAAGCAAGAAGGATAGACCACACGATGACAATTGTAGGGGTACGATTTTGCCGACCCAACAGACCCTTCAAGAATGGATACAGATGTGCTACGACCCATAAGGCGAAAAACAGTTTGCCAAAAAGTGGACCCCAAGATTGGTAACCGCTATTTATGGCATATGAAACACCGGCCACAATACCTACTATGTTCACAAGAAGAACCGTGGTTGGAGGGATGAGAAGTGATGTCCATTTGAACACGTAGAGCTCAGCAAAATCCCCATCCTCATCAGATGACTTTGACGTGACAGTGAAGTTGGTATCAATCCCAGCAAGAACTTTCAGGAGACCTTGGAAGACAGCGAAGAGATGAGCTGATGTTCCACCAATGATCCAGAACTGTTCATTTCTCCACCAGTCATCAATACTGACTCCACTCCACCTTAGCTCAAGAATACCGGTTGCAATAATGGAAACAAAGAGCAGAATGAACCACATGCTAGCAAAGTTACTTATCTGCATAAACAATTAAACATTCAACAAATTTAGTGACTGCCCAGAATGATAATCTAGAGTGTGAAAAGCCTAAAGAAAGGTCCCATGACAATGCTGTTGAGAATGAATCCCACATTGATGGGACGAACCTTGCACACTTTAAGGAATCGTGTTAATGAATTCTTTCAAAAGTTGCAGAACTAGTGTATTTTTTTGTTTGTTTTGAGTAAGAACAACGCAGAACCAGTATTTACCTCAGGAATGATAAACTTTTCTGTGAGCAGGCAAAAGGCAGGAAGCAAACAGTAGGCAATCAGTGGTATGGATGTGAGAGGGTAAACGATGGTATTGATGTATGCAAGTCTCTCCAAAAGCTTCAACTTCCCATTGTAGCCATACCATATGGGACAATGCCTGCTGAGCAGAATTTCAATGGAACCCAAGGCCCATCGAAGCACTTGGTTCAAACGATCAGAAAGATTGATGGGAGCAGAACCCTTAAATGCTGGGCGGGGAGGCATGCAATAGACTGATATCCAACCACGAGCATGCATCTTAAACCCAGTTAAAATATCTTCAGTCACAGAGCCATAGATCCATCCAATCTGGTGATAAAATAAAATGTCAATTATTGTGAATTTAAAATCACAAATTCATTCATTAAGTATTTTCGGAATAAGGGAGGCTAGACCTATATTGCTATACTGACCTCTTTTCCCCATTCACTCTTGTCTTCATATCCACAGCTAATAACATGTATGGCTTCCTTCAAAAGAGTTGCAGGATTGGTTGTAGGTGGAATGCCTCCTTGTTCCATGAATGTGGCTGCAATAAAAACTGGTGATTGACCAAAACGCTTCTCTAAGCTCTTCTGAGACATAAGAAGAGTCCTCTCATCATCATAACCTGCAGAAGATTAAGTTATCTCAGTCAAATTTGCAAAGCATGGATGCATCAAACATCATTTTGGTTTTCTGTTAATTTTGGTCAATAACACTCTGAATGATTTTTTTTTTCTTTTTCTTTTTAAGGTTTGTCAAATGAGCAAACTTGTTAAAAGTTTCCTTGTTACATGTGATGCGATCATGCGATGGAAGCACTTTCATGAATAACTTACAACATTAATGTACGTGGCAAGATATTTGGAGAAAAGAACTTGAAAAAAAGATAATATAAGAATCTACCTTCAACACCCTCCTCAATGTCTTCCATATTGAAAATGGGAATGGTGGATTCTGTTCTTTTGACCGCCCTCTTCTTGTCAATATACTTCTTATTGCTAGTCTTGTTCTTCTTTCTTGAACCACAACAACTCTTGACAATAATGTTTGGCTGCAAATCTTCCTCGGTCAAAACCGGATCATACCCATACAGAGCTTGTCTGTTGAAACAGCAACCAGTTCCCACATAGACTGGACCCTGGATGCCATCCAGCCCTTTCAAGTTGATCTGCAAGTAAGACGAAATAAGAATATATTTTCCAGAGTGTATCCACACTGTCACATAGAGTGATATTAGTAATTGACTAATTGGTGGTTATAAATCAAGTAGCACATACATCAAAGAAGACAATGTTCCGATTGGCATATCTATCGTGCAAATCAATGCCATCAAATCGCTGAGGGAACTGGACATAGCAGGTCTTCTTCCCATAAGCTGGGTCCATCATGAAACACATGGCTTCCTTAAGAGCTTTACTGTTATTGAAGTAGTGATCACAATCGACGTTTAAAAGATATGCACCGTTTGTCAGAACGGCTGAAACTCGAATCTACATGGCATATGGTGAACCAAGTTAGAAAATCAAAATGGTTTTGGTACCGACTTCAATTCATCAGGGAACAATCTTATCTTACAAAACTTGTTTAAGAGACGATGACATTTTGTACCATAAAATGTGTCATGGTGTAGTTAGCCAAGGAAACATTGAGGGTTCTAACTGGTCAAGGAAATTTTGAGGATCCTAATTGGCAAAGAAAATAATGAGGATCTTACTAGGCTAAGGAAACATTGAGAGTTCTAACTGGTCAAGGAAATTTTAAGGATCCTAATTAGCAAAGAAAAATATTGAGGATCTTACTTGGCCAAAGAAATATTGAGGGTTCTAACTGGTCAAGGAAATTTTGTGGATCCTAATTGGCAAAGAAAACATTGAGGACCTTACTTGGCCAAAGAAATATTGAGGGTTCTAACTGGTCAATTTAGAATTTGTCCAGCTTTAGCAGAAATGTTGACAAAATATAGTTCCAAACAAGTCAAACCACTGAACATTACTGCTAAGAAAAAAAAACAATTATATTTTAATCAATTTGAGGGGAAACAAACCAATGCATTCATTGCTCCAGCTTTCTTGTGATGCTGGAATCCAGGTCGCTTCTCACGAGAAACATAAACAAGTCGAGGCAGTTCATTGCCATCAGTATCAAGGCCACCACTGTGGCCTAAGAAGACCTGTTCTTCCACATGATGGAAAACTAAATTAGCACGAAAGACAGAAGAGGAGGTAGAAACCCAAAAGCACTAGATAAAAATGCAAGTACCTGGATCATTCCTGGATGGTCTCTAGGGTTGTTCCCAGGCCATGGAGTCCCATCCTGCATTGTCCAACCTTCTTCAGGCATCTTCTGTGCCTTGGCAACTAGGGCATTGATCCGAACCTTGAATTCTTCATACTCTCTCTGTGGGCAAAACCAATATGCATTTAGACTCTCTTCATAGTGCTACATATGTATGTAAGTTTACCAGAATTTGCTCTCTAAACATCCCTTAACTCTCCTAGGTATAATCAGTCTTACGATTTCAAATTTTAAACTATTTGAACAGATTACAGAAATAACTACCAAAGCATAACACCGTTTTTCATTTTCCTTTTGCGCACTTGCGTCAAACTCAAGTTTTGATAACAAAGAAATTGATAATCCGGAGTCTACCTATCAAAAAATTGAAGTAATCGTCTTGTTTGAATGATAAATAATGCAAACTATAGAGGTGATCAATTGATGTTTTAAAGCCGAAAACCAGATAGGGATTTATATTGCTTTAAAAGTAAGGCACCATTAAAAGGATGAATTATGTTATTTAAAGCAGGCAAGATTTGCAAAGAATTGAAATAATCCTCCTGTTTGAAATGGTCATAGAAGAAATAATCATTTATTAACTTCTTTTTAGAAACCCATGCAACATATTGGACTTGCATTCACTCACCTTCATTGCTCTACGCTCTTTTACGAAAGAAGGCTGTATCTTGTCCTTTAAGTAATCAATCTTTTGGGCAAAATAAAACTCAGGGGCTCTAGGTTCAATGTTGTGTTTCTTGCAAAAAGGTACCCACTTCCTAGCAAACTCCGCAGTTTCAGAAAGGGATTCAAATGTTAGCATTGCGGACCCATCATCAGACACATAGCAAGAGACTTTGTCCACTGGGTAATCCACAGAAAGTATGGACAAAACAGTGTTAGCCGTAACCAGAGGAGGCTCTTTCATGGGATCCACTGTACTGACGAACACATCTATGGGGGCTAACTGGGATGGCTCCCCATCACGATCATACCTGCATGGTGGAAACTATGTTAAGGCATATAAAAATGATAATGAAACAAATTTTAAAACCTCAACAACTATAGATTGTGTGAAGTTGGCCAACCTCAGTGTGAGCCTATCAAGATAGGTCTCACGGTTAATGGGAAACCATTTCGGAAACTGATCCAGAAGCCAGGATAAAGCAAACCAAATCTCACAGATGACTGATGTTAACCATAATGGATATGCATCTTTCACTGGGTGAGTTGCACGGTATTGCAAGAAGAAACCCAGAATAATTAGCCGGAGTATGATCACAACACGGTAAGGTGTCAAATGGGATGAAGAAATAGGCACAATGCGACTCAAAGGTTGTCTAGCATCATCAGCCCTGAGATGAAGACAAAAGAAAAAGGACAATGTCGTTATCAAGGAAATGTACATCATATGAAACACTTCTAATTCCCATTCTCTATAATGCAAAGGCAAAATGCTTTCTAAGTAAAGTTTTACTCCAGAAGCTCACATTTGGAGTTCTTCACCATTTGAACCAGTGCCTTCCATGTCCCCCTTTCCTTCAGCGTATCTACTAGTCATCTGCATCATACTTTTGTCCTGTTTGAGTTTCCAGCCTTCAACCCTTTCTTTCCAGTCAACATTTCCTAGCCCATAAGAATTCAAGTCCTTTGACGGGTCCACTATTCTCACTGGAACTGTAAAAATAAATTGCAGAATTAAATAACCATTCAAACAAACCATTTGTCAGAGGAAATTTGTATGAATGTAATTAATTTGTACCTGGCTGTCGTGGATCCAAAGGACCTGATGTAGTTCGCACAGACTGGTTGTCCGGTGTGGCACAAGGAATCTCACCAGACACCTAATGAAATTATGAGCATAAGTGCAAAACAAAGATTAACAAGATGCACAACCATACAAGACTTGCAATAATAGCTGTAGTTACAAGCAGTAATTTCAGCTAAAGATAGAAATACCCCAAGTGATATAGAGGAGCTAGGATCACTTGCGTTCACAGATTTACTTGTAGTATCAAATTAAAAGAAGAGCTAGAGAATCAATCAGCTCATCTCCATGAACATGAGAGTTTTGAATTTTTTATTTTTAATCTTTTAGTGATAAATGAGAGATATGAAGAAGTTCCATTGCTAATCACTTACCGACTGCCCATTGGTTAAAAGGGGAATCGGCTGTTGAGATTCATGTCTCGAGGAAGATGAGAGATCAGCATCTTCTCCTTGCCACTGGCGCCTGGCATTGCTAGTTCCTTGTGTATAATTGAACTCATTCTCCAGATCATCAATGTCATCCTCATCGTCATCTCCATCCACTCGAGGACTCCCTAAAGGACATCAGTTTTTGTTAAATTCATTGCAAGAATTATATCTATAAGTCAAAACAGTAGGAATTCTATTCACATAATGAGAAAAGCAAGTGAACCTTTGTGCCTTTTATATCTAGTCTTGCACTGTGGGCAAGCCTGGTTTCCATCTTTCCTCTCATACTCATAACAAGGTCGACAGACTGGAAAGGCACACTCATTGCAGGCAACAAAGACATCACCAGTGGCTGTAAGACCAACAGTATCACCACAGATCTGACATATCTGCCCGTTCAGATTCTTTACGGGTTTGGACTGCATTACATATGACAAAGTACAAAGTCGTTAAAAGGCAATTCATTAAAAGTAGCAAGGAATCTGATACTTCTGCGGATATTTCAGGCTTTTAGCAAATTAAGAGGTTTTGTTTTAAAAGCAATATGTTGAAATAATGAAACTCAAGAATGCACACAATTACCATGATCAAAATCTAAACCATCAATAGTATAGAATTTCATTTCAAGAAATGTTAAATTAATATAAGTTAAACTGACATTATAACGTAAACCACGAAGCACAACAAGCAGTTCAGCTCAAAGCTCAGTTGAGTTATGAAAACAGATCTCGGGGATGACGTGTTATCAAGCTGAAATTTCATTGGGGGAGTTTCGTTTAGTGGATTTGAGCTTAATTCAACTGCGATTTTGCGATCACCGAGAATAGAGGTTGAAGCATCATAATCTTAGATTGACTGTCGAAAAATAAGATAACCATCAAACTACAAAACAATCCTTACAAAGCTAATAGTAATTAGATTGGATTGTCAACAAGTGTCGGCAAATCCAGCTACAAACATCAAAGATCAAACATTTCTAAGATCTGACTGAAATTACATTTACCATTCCCTAATTATTCAGAAAGCAAACAAATTTCAACAAAAAATCAAAGCTTCGACCAATCCAAACTCAAATCCCCAACTTTGACTGCAATATTCCCTCCCCCTAGTCTCAATCACTCAAAATCCAATTCCAAAACCTACCCACTTCCGATTCAGTAAAAAAAACCCACAAAAATTCACTGAAATCTAAGTCCCACCAGATCCACACAATACACAAAAGCCAAAACCCACATTCCAAACAACATAAATAATAAAAAATATCGAAATGGGTAACTCCATAAACACAAATTACCGAGCTATCAGAATCGTGGCGAATCCGAACGAGCTCGTTCCTCTTGTAAGAGCCGGCCACCAGTCCTGCATTGGCTTCCATGGCAGCTGCCGCGCTCAATGCTTAAGCTTTGTTGGGATTTCGATTCAGTGGTCTGGGGATATCAGAAAGGAGGGAGATCTGTGTAGGCAAAAGAAGCTGTGAAATTCGTCGCCCGTTCACTACGACATCTCTGATCTCTCTCTCTACTCATGACAGCTTTGCCTTCTCTTTGCGTGTCCTTTTATCACTATATTTTCTGTATTTTTTTATTTATTTTTTTTACCGGATCGACCGGTTGCCGCTGTCATAACACAACACCCAGCTTGCTGATCCCATTTTTCTTGAATTCACGTGTTTTTTTATTTATTTATTTATTATTTGAGTGGAATTATTTCTTCTTGTTTTTTATCCTCTGTTGGGAGATTTTTTTTATTTTTTTATTTTATTTTTATTGGGGGAGTTAAATATAAATGATATTTTTGCACCTACCATTTGACATAGCATTTTAGTCTTACGTCATATGTTTTTTTATTTTCCACTATGTTATAATTCAGTTTTGAAGTTAGTGATTCAAATTGACAATTTAATAATGAAGTATTTCACATTTTATTATTTTGATATTGTATTTAGTCTTATCGTATCAATCGTATTAATATCAAAATGTATTTTTATTTTTGGTTTATCTTTATACATTTATGCATTTTTTTTGTTTGTAATTAGTAAATTCATGTGGGTTTACTACTTGCTTTTTTATTTTATCTACTTGGTGGCTGCAATCGGACAAGATTTCTTTGTTGGATGATGGAGTTTTCCTTCCTTCCATCTCTGAGGCATTGTTTAGCCTGATTTATGGTGGTCGTTGGGGTCGATGGCTCATGCTGATCGAAAGGTGTTGTGGTGGTTGTTGTTGCAGAAGGATAGGATTTTCTTTTTCTTTTAGTTTGTTTCTATTTGTGAGCCTAATCTTTTGGTTGGGCTCTTGGTGTTTTGTTTTGCACGCCCGCGTTTTCTTTGTGTATTTCTTTGGGGCCTCTACCATATGAATTTTGTTTTGGTTGGTAATAAAATTAGCCTTTGTACCAAAGAAAAAAAAACATGTATAATACATGAATTCCATGTTGTGGTACTTTATTTAAAAATCACATATATTATACACATATTTATGTAGTTTTAACGTTTGAAAATTTCAGCTCTCATCCCTTCACTATTGCTTGTACAAAAGAAATTATATAAGTTTCATGTAGATTCTCAATATTTTTGTTGGCATTCAGTTCAATGCTTTTAGTTAGAGGGTAATTACCATGAATTGAATTCTATTAAATCCTCATAACAACTAAAAACTAGTAAATAAAATCTTAGATTATCTAAAAGCATGACAAAGTAAACATGGACTATCTCTTTTTTTTTCTTTTTCCCTTCTATGTAACACCAACACAATGACAGTAACTCCATCATCAATAGTCATTACGATTATAGTAAATAGGCTTATAATAGTATACAATGGCGGATTCAAGAAAGATTATGGAGGCCAGTAAGAATAACTCGCACATCGCACAAATTTTTTTGGGCGGAGTATCATGCAAATTGGCATTTCATCAAGCTTTAATTGGTAGGCATGAGGCCATTTTGTCATTTCATTTTGCAAGCATGTTGATAGATGCCAACAACTTTCGAGCGAGTATGTCGACTGATGTCAATAAAGTGAGCATGTTGGTAGATGCCAACATATTCCAAGTGAGCCTTATGGGCAGATGCTGCTTACAAAGGCATGAGGCTAGCAACTACCTTGCCCAGTGACCATAGTGGCAATTCGTCAAGAAGTTAGAGGACGACTTTCAAGAGAATCTAAGATTTTCAAAATACAACACCCAACTCTTCCATAAAAGATGTCTAAGTTTGAGAGGAGTAAGCTGACCCACCTTGAACTAAGGTGAATCTATTCCTAATCGTATTCGCTTTTGAATAATTGTATTGTGGTTTCTTTTGGAGAAAAGGTCATTACTATTTACACAAACAATTTCACAAAACCTTGTTAATTTGGATGGTGGTTGAGAAATAATAAGATTATTACATGAAGAGATGCGCCTAGATATAACAGCATTCCTAATTATTTTTATTTATTTAAAAATGATGTGATTGTAATAATGCAACGTAACAGCAAGCATGCAGTTGTTTATAAAAATTCCAAATTGAGCTGCTTTGTTGACTTCAAAATGTTACGTCCAATTGAACAGGGGCACGTGTACGCTACCGGTTGGGTGGTCTCTATCAACGTTTGTTGTGTATTTTTAGTCTTAATTTTCTGTAATTTATTATTTGCTGGTACTAGGCTGTAGTGGAGGAGGAGTACAAGTGGCTGCTGTCGGTGGCTTAATTCCTCCCCCTTTTTACAGCGGCTCGCTCGCCGGAGTCAAAGTAAATCTTCTTCAACGAGAACTGGAAGCCCTTACATCAAACGGCTCAAGGCCGAAGCTCAATAGGACATGGGAGAAACCGAAAAGTCCGTGCGAGAGCTTCATCACAAACGACAACGGTGTAAAACTACTGTTACTGATCATATATTGTATTTTATGCAATCAATTTTCCAATGTAGAATTTATATAAGAAAAATTAATGAAAATGGTTTGAAAACTTTGAGTTTTAATGATAAGGACAAAATAAAGGGTAAAATGAATAGTCCCAGGATTGACTTTTTAGTGTAAAAATATGATTTTCGTTAAAATGAACAGTACCGGATACTTTTCGTTAAAGTTCCTATTTATATATTCTTCGACATGCTTATTCATGTGGTACTAGTATATAGTGGCCTAGTTGGCCACAGATCATTCAAGTGCATAAGCAATACAAAGCAGTAAATCAACACCACTACTAGAATTATGGCTATAAGCCACCCTTTCATTTGGTGGCTATTGTCAAGTGTTGCCACTCACATTGGTGGCAAACCTTTATGGCCACCAATCACCCACTAAACTAGAAGTGTGGCCTATGTAGAGGACTCCATTGTAACAATGGCCACCAATATTGCATTGGTGGGTATGTGAATAGTACACCATTTTTATATTTTATAATTAATTGTAAAATGCAAAATATGTCATTGTCTCTCTTATTGGTGGCTAGATTTGAGACTAACATTGGTGGCTTTCATACTCATACACCCACCAATCCTATGTGTCTCTATTAGGATGAGTGGCTTTTAAAGTATAGGCACCAACAATGGTGTGAATCTATAGCATTCCAAATGACCTTTATGTTCGAATTGTATTACATGGCTGTTAAATCATTGCTTTGTACTACATTAAAACTCATCTTCTTAATATAAACTTCACAACTATATTAAATTTGCAAAAGGCATCACATTGACAACCAACCACACTTTATATCCCATACGGAATAATAACAAGGTTTGTCCCTTTTCAAGGAAGCATATTACATTCAAGTTTGTTGTCCCACACATCCAACTACCAAGGGTGAGGAGATTACATTTTATAAAACCAACAGTACATATGCACATCCACCAACAGCAACTGAACTAACAAAATCCACCCCATTGGATCTATGCCTTCCCTACGGCATTTGTACTATTTACATCAAGCAAAAATCACAGGAATGATCACAATTAGCTTATCACTTACTGAACCTAGTGACATTCACCATGCATGGACGATAGACCATCTCATCCGCTGTGCCGTTATTGTGCAGCACAACAAAGCCGTCATCTTCAACTTCTCCACTTGCCTGGATCTCTAAACTAGTCCCTTGTTCAGTTCTAGTCACACAAGCTTCACTCACATCAACTCGGTTTGGTTCCACAATGCCTGCATCAGCAGCCCTCATCGGCGCGGACATTATTGCAGCCCTCAGTTCACGCTTCATGTTCTCCACTTCCAACTCCATCCGTCTGTTATGTACCACCATTGAATCAGTTTGCTCTTTCCTCAATTGTGCAACCACATTTGCCTGCTCAATCCTTTGCCTTTCCTCTCTCTCACTTGCCTCCATCTTAAGTCTCTCAATTTCAATATTAGCAGCTTTTATTTGTTCCTCATATGCTACTGTAATTGCTTCAACTTCTCTACAAATCCCTCTTTTCTCAGTTCTAATGCCCGGCACGTCAGACCACACAACCCCTGTCCCAAATCCTCTTACACGGTTGTATTTCTCAGGCCCCAATACATCAGCGTACACATTATGGCAAACCTGTTCAGTTATGATCTCATTCCTATCTGCGTACAGTTTCAACTTTGTATTGAATTCATCCTGCAAGTTGTTGGGAAGATTAATCACATATACATATGAACTCTATATCGATTTCATAGCCTTCTAAATCAAATATATTCCAACCATGTTTCTCAACAATACTAGTTCTATTAGTGATTGTTCTGTTGTTCAAACAAACATTATACCAATAAACTCATATGCACCCTTATCTCTTTCATTACTTCAGTGTATTCACTAATGCAGCCGGTTGCTGCATTATGTTCTTTGTCTTACTGAGTTTGCGTATAAAATATTACAAACCACTTGATTGTTCACATTCCACAAACCTTTTATATATATCGCCTCCTATAGGACACCATGGCATACTAACAATTTTTTATGGCATACTTACAAACCGGAAACATATATATCACCTACATCGAATATCAACATTGTATCAGCTGCTAATTGATGGCATACTTACAATTATTGCAGCTGACCGAGCATCCACTGGTTCCCCATTTTTCCGAGTATGTGTTAGTGTAAAGAATGTAATGCAGTTCGGTTTGCTTCCATTCACTTGTTCCTGTTAACATAAAATGTCAAATAACTAATAGACCAGATATTTCATGAGATTGTTTTCATCCAGCACCTTCATTCCATGTGCACTAAAATGTACTTAAGTTAGCATAACACAAAACTGAAGGAAAATCCTTACATGTTCGTGTCTGATTTGCGCAAACGACTTGGTTCCAGTCGTGTGATATATTTGTAGTGCCTTCCTATTCTTTCTAGATGTCGTAGCACGCTTCTACATATGTCAATTGTATCATGCATTAGTGGGGCTATGTGAAAACATAATTCATCCTAATTTCCAATACATACAATCCATACATTTATCATTCACATAATTTCCCAACTAAATCAACCATATATGGTGTATAAACAAGCAAGAACATTTGATCACTGTGTGTGGTACCTGAGCATGTCCGGTGTCCCATAGTTGTACTAACAATTTCCATTGCCCTTGGTTGACCCGGCCATCTTGACAATGGAACCTCTCCGCTGATGGTGAGTGCATGCATGGAGTATAGTATGCCTTCTTGAGGTTTGCCTTGTAATCCTTCCATCTATCATTCATCTTCATCTCACAAACCCGCCGAATTTTTTGCTCCAATTCTAATGTGATCTCATCTGTCCAATCAAGAGTCCCCTGCCCATTTAGATATATATATGTTGTTGTTAATTATGCCCCATTACGTAATATATGAAATATGAAACAAAACATTTACTTTGTAATACCCCTGCAGTAGGTTTCAATTTTTTTTTATAATCGTACATTTTAGCCTTACATGAAACAGTTAAAAGCAGGCTCATTACACATCACCAATCTACAAGGATGCTGCCTTTTAGTGCTGCATTATGTGCAGTGGACCCTATTGTAATCGTAAATGGTGCCTATTACGACGTAATTGGTGCGTCTTATTTCAAATATATCACATTCAAGCATAATTTATTCTAGTTCTACTTTGTAACTGACCACCTGCAGAATATTTGACATAACCAATGACGAGTATTAACCGGTGTATGGATAACAGTAGTTAAGGTCAATTAGTTTTGGAATGAAGGCATACTCTGTATTGATGGCATACTTATGGCTAACAGCAGTTAAACTTGTGTATTGATGACATACTTATGCATGTATAACAGCAGTTAATGTAATGTATTGATGGCATACTTATGGCTTCAACGTGTGTGTTGAGTAAGCAAACAAAAGGCCATGTGATGGCATTTTGTGGGTTTTATTTTTTCCAGGTTTAAATCTAATTGACAGTGACATAACTATCTATCCATACAGCAAAACCAACCAACCATATAACCAATATCCTTATGTTGATTTACCTTAATCCTCTGCCAAGCACGATCCATGTTTGAACCCCTGTAGAAATGCCTCCAATCAACTACGTTAATCGGAAAATATGATGCTTCTTGAGATAGCATTCCTAAAAACCTAGAAAATCTAGCAACAGTGTGAGGAGGCTCTACCGGCTGCCCTTTCTCATTAAATTGCATCACCTCCTTCGTACCATTGGGTGCCCAATGTGGCCTATTTATGCCCCTAGGTGCCTGTGCTCTACAAGTCATACGTGGACGTTCATCCACGCTACCTTCGACATTATTTGGAATCGGGAAATGATGTATGTGGTTGTGTTCCATCAGGTTGAATGCTGGTGGTTCAGTTTCGATGCCTTCGTCAATCAACATTGATGCAACTGAGTTATTGATGCTGACCCACAGTACCTTCAAAATTACATTTCATGTAAACAGAACACAAGTGCGTCCAATGAACAGCAGTACACAAAAGCATTTACATTTAACACCTCAATTAATTATCTGGTAAGCAGAGAACAATAGTACATACCTCCTGAAATGGCTTCAATGTAACCTCTATGCCCTCCTGATATTTTCGTCTTTGTGTTGATAGCTTGATGCAATTAAACAAGTCAAGTGATATCTATGAAGCCAGACACGTTCCGTATTTGAAATACAAACTTCAAATATTTGCAGACACATTTAAGTCGAGCGGCAACTCCTCCCGCCTACTAACAATAGTAAAACCATTATTTAATTGATATACACTGATGGAGTTCGCCCCTAGCCACACATAATGGCCAGCTGTTGCTATTAACGAATAAAAAAATATAGGAACCCATTAAATAATTTATCAGTCTGTGAGGTGGCAGATTTGGAATTCATGGTTGATGAGATTGGCATATGCCATGTGCGGTCAAATATCCCTGCTTTTGTAAGGAGAATCCCGGGACTTAATTGTTGACACCCTAATTAATTATTTTTTCAACTCAGTGGGTGTGAACTTACAAGTGCCTTGGCTTCCATTCTAATCTCATTTATAAATATCAACGTTGAAGAGGTTGTTGAACTTACAGCAGTTTCAACTTCATCTCAAATTTACACCAAATCACCAATGTCCCATTTATTCCCAAATGTTCGCAGACAGTTATTTTGTAACACGACTGAACCCCTTCTTCCTGCGGTGGATTATGAAGTGCTTGGTCCCATGATGCCTGCCCCAACCATTAACACTGCAACCCTGGTTCCTACCCAAGAAAACCTTCTCCCTGTGCTCACTGCCAATCATGAAGATCCTGATTTTTGGCGTTACCTACAGGCTAACTTTCACGTCGAATTCGAGTTCGAGCAAAACCCCACATTCGACTCAGGTGCCAACCAGCAGTTCGAATCCCCTGCAAAGACAACTACTGCCTGGGGTGAATGGAAAGACTTTTCGCATGGCTCTAACATGCCCGTTTACCCTCATCCATCACCCAATCCCTTGATCAATATTTATTGTCCTCGTTATGATGAGGCAGCGAAAATTGTGATCTTAAAAGATGAGCACTTTCCATCTGATCTTCCAGGTTTTGGTGTGAACGTGGTTCCACCCTGGTCCAACGAAATCGGCTACGTGAAGCATGGTAGCCGTGGCAAACAACCTTGCATCAGTGCTGATACTGAGAAATTAATGACCAGTGGAAAGCAACCTTCCATCAGTGGTGACACAGTGAAAATAATTTCATCTTTTTTCCCCGGTGATTCATACCGCTTTGATCCTATTGAGATTTGCAATGCTGTACACTTCGATTCTGATTCTGATTGTACCAGTACTGCAAGGACTCGTCATCCTCAAAAAAGGTACAAGGCTGTTAAGGAGTGTGCTGCGTGCGAATATGTGGGAGGTCAAGAACGTTGTGATTGGATGAATCGTGCTATAGGTCAAACAAAACAGGAAGCCATCCCCAAAGATATTCAGAATGCAAAATCACCATCCGATGACGCTTATGGTAAGAAGAGTTGAACCTAGCTGGGAATGGATGTTATATTCTAGTATTAGTATGCACGTATGTCCATTGCAGTTCAAGTTGTCAACGTTTAAAAACAATTCTCTAGGCTTTTGCTCTATGTAAACATTCCTGCTCAGTTTGTACCACCGCAGAAGATAGGGATGTTTATATTTTGAACCTAGGCATTTGGTAACTATATAGACTGCTATGTTATCTAAGTTTTTGTATGGATGGTTTATGGAATCAATATCATGTATGACTACGCTGTGTATTTTGCACATTTACTAATGTGTACCAGTTTGATTTATATGTATTCAGCAACAGTTGCGCTAATTAAATATCATGACAGAAAAACAAAGAAATCTGAAGACAAAATATATATTGAACTAATGCTTACATCTTCCAGAGCAGAAGAATGGTTCGACACTTCAGAGTTTAGATGAGAAAACATTGATTGTGAATTTCCTTCAAGATCCCCAGCTATACCATCTAAAGCTTTATTACCAGAACCATACATGTTTTTTAAGCTTTCCTAATCTTCGTCGTTGTTCTTTAGTATCCTTCAAAATTAAGCCAAAAAATGAAGTTGTATATAGACTGACAATTCAATCTCAGGAATGCATGCAAATACAATCATCTTCTTGTCTAGGCCTTACCTCCGCCTTTGTTGATACAAAGGACTGCATGTCCTCTTCCATATCTTTTAATTGTTGCTCCTGTTGTGTTATGCTTCCCTGCCAGAGTCTTATGCAAGACTTCAAGCTGCTGAGTTAATTGGGACTGAAATTTCTGGACTAGTATCCGGTTTCCATCTTAAATTTTGTCCTTGCGCTGTACAACACCATCCATGGTCAGAAAATAAATAACCTACAGTTTTGAGGGAGATCAAAGAAGAACAAAAAAAAATAATAATACAAACCAATTTTTGCAAATAAACTGGACACATCTGATGCAGCATTATCTAGCTCTGCTCTTAGCTCAATTGCACGCCCATCGAGTGATTTCTTTCAAAGTTAACAATGCAATAATAGTAAGCAAGAGTCATTTAAATGTACCTTCCAGCATGAAAGTTAATATATGCCAAACATTTAACATGAACTATTGTACAATAATCATGAATGTCGACTGTATAACTTCAAAGTAAGATGAAATGGAGAGAATCTATCTATGGTCTAAAAATGCAGATGGTGACACGACAAGTTGTTTTAGCAAACAACTTGCTCACCCGATTTGAGGAGATTAACTATCACAAATTCCTGCTCTTTGATGGACGCATTTGCTTCAAATGCTTGTCCTCAAGACCATACAGTGCATGTCCAGTTTCCTCAAGCTTTTTCTGAAGTATAAAGTGTTTAATTATCTCATAACGAGAGCAGAAAGAATAAAGGACACTCTGTAAGTCGATATTACAAATGTATTACCTCAGTTTTCACAAGTTAAGCATTCAATTGTACAGCCAAAAGTTGCTCACAACTGTAAAGTTCCTGAAGCTCCAGCAATTTCTACTCTCAGGCCAATGTTAACGTTCATATTAGTTCTCACCCTGTAGTCAATATTATTAAAAAAGAAAGGAATGAAATGTTGATGGAGATACCTTGTGTTTTGAATCATAATCAAGTTTCATCCGCTCTATCTTTTCAGACATTGCCTACAGTACATAAAGAGTTAATGAAGTTAGTAACCAATCAGTTGTGAACGTAGGAAAACCAGTCCATAATTCAGTTCAATGACAAGAATAAGACCTTCTTCTCTGCTTCTTCACTAACATAACGATGTCGTGGTATATATATTCCATTCTTCTCTGTGGCAGCATATACCTCTGAATGAACATAAGAAACATGTCATACATTTTAGCCTGCAGCAAAGTAACAATAAGGAATAATTAAATAACCTGTCAAACAAAAAAATTTATATGGAGAGAGAGAGATAGAGAGCACATCAACGCTGGAATCAGTTAACAACCTTGCTTGAGTCGATGAATCTCAGAATACAAATCGTTGATCAAAACAGACCTCATCGTTTTTTTTGAATGACCTGAAACAATAAGTAACAACATACCATAACAAGGGTCAGATCGAAAGACAATTCAACTATATAATTTGAGAGAACATGGATGAGCTTCTACATCGAATCAATACTTCCTATAACTATTACCTTCATCAAAAGTTAGATGCTTTTACAGGCATTCTTCAAAGTCTTGGGCATCTACATCGATTCTAACTCGAACCTCATCATTATCACCTGTTGCATGTTCCACATCCTGTCCATCGCACGGATCATCATCATGTGTTGAGGACATATCAAAGAAATCGCGTGGTCTCGTTTTGATTGCAACATGCCATTCTATATCTGTTGGGTCTTGTACATAGAACACTTGTAGTGCTTGTGTGATGCGAGAATGAAGGGGTCACTCGTAGACGACATCTTATTGAAGTTAACCAATCTAAAGCCATATCTGTCTGTTTTTTACTCCCTCACCAGTATTTCTGGAAGTGCCATTAAACCAGTTGCACTTGAATAAAACCACCGTGCGTTCCATATGGTACTTGATTTCAAATACATCAGTCAGAACCCCATAGTAGTCTACCAAACTGGTAACAGGGTTCCGGTCACGTGGGCCAGCATAACTTGGAACATCAGACTGTAGGAAAAACACCATAGTTTTGGTAATTCCCATTGGATTGTGTGCCTCTTACTTTGAACCTGAACCCATTACATACAAAAGTCTTATATCTCCGACACCCACTTACTAGGTCCATTAGCAAGCGCCACCAAGTCGTCAGTTGCACTTGGATCACCTGATTGTTGCAATTGATTAACCTACACAATTTACACCCAGGTTCATATGCATAGTTAAGAATTGGAAGCTAAATAGGAAACCAGTACACACAGAATTAACTTATTCCGTACTAACATGGTTTTCGAACCAATCTGGGAAGGATTTAATAGCTTCTTTCTCTGCTTCTAGCATGGTTACACGCCTTCCTCGAGTTTTTTGAGCATTTTCCACGTAACTTCTGTAGGTGAAAATAAAGTCAATGTCACTCTGTAGAACCAACAGTAGAGTTTCAGAAGTTGGTGCCATTGAACTGCAGTTTATAACATTTAAGTTTAATCACCTCCTATATGCCATTGACTTATCACAATTGGCTAAAACATACGATCGTGCAATCTCCCAATCGTGGTTGTCAAGATGATAATCTTCCCGTATACCAAGTGAATGGCCGGTGGCACAAAATATGTCAAAGTCGCCCTCATGGTCAGGCCGTAATATATCTGCATTTCGGCTTGGACGGTTCAAACGTGTCTCCACGCCTTCCAAGTACATCACACAAAAAGACAAGCACTCCTCAGCCAGATATCCTTGGGTCATGCTTCCCTCTGGTCGATTTTTATTTCGAACATACTTCTTCAACGTAAGCAGGAACCTAATTTAAATAGTACAACATCAAAATTGCTGTTCTAAATAGTATGATGCACATATGTAATACCCATAGAAACATACTAAAAGTTAAGGAATACCTCTCAATTGGGTACATCCATCTGTAGTGCACCGGACCTGCAAGTGCAGCTTCCTCGGCAAGATGTATTGTGAGGTGAAGACTGACGACAAAGAACGCAGGGGGTAATATCCTTTCCAATTGGCATAGGATCATCACTATTTTGGGTGTAAGTTTGCGAAAGCCTTCCACTGACCCTTTTTTAGTACACAAATGTCTGAAGAATGCACTTAGTTCTAATACTATCTGTGCAGTCCCAGATGGGAGGCTTTTGCGTATGGCAATTGGAAGGAACTGCTGCATTAAAACGTGCCAATCATGACTTTTAAGTCCCCTTATGATCTTTTCCCTTACATGCACAACACGTGAAATATTGGACGAGTAATTGTCAGGCACTTTTATTGAGGCTAAGACCTTGCAAAACAATTCCTTCTCTAATGTTTTCATAGTATATGCACCGAGAGGCATCATTGGCTTTCCATTGACAAATTTGATCTGCAACTCCGGTTTCATGCCCATCAATTCCAAGTCCAACCTTGCATTCATGTTATCCTTGCTTTTCCCAACAATACCCAGCAGCGTTGCAACCAAACTTTCAGTTACATTTTTTTCAATGTGCATGACATCAAGGCAGTGTCGAAGGACAAGATGTTCCCAATACGGCAATTGGAAGAAAATACTATGTTTCTTCCATGGCCCAACCGTTGGTGTAGGTGGTGGTCTTTTGTCTCCAACCAGTTTCCGTGGCGTCTTACCATATTTGAACCGTAAAGTGGACAACCGCCGAAGGCATTCACGTCCGGTCATAGGGGAAGGTGCTTGCTCTCTTTCGTCAGAAAGATTAAAGGCTTTCCTTTGTCGACGAAAAAACATGTGACATGGGCAAGAAACGACGGTGACCCCTATAACAATATTTCCTACCCTTTTTGAGATATGTCGACTCGGTGTTGTAGTTGCAATGAGGACATGCTAATTTCCCATGTGTGTTCCAACCAGACAAGTTCCCATAGGCGGGGAAGTCGCTAATAGTCCACAAAACAGCTGCTCGTAAGGTGAAGGTCTCTTGCCTAAACGTATCATAAGTGGGAACCCCGGAGGTCCACAATACCTTCAGCTCGTCTATTAATGGTTGAAGGTATACATCAATATCATTTCCCGGAAATTCTTTGCCCGGTATTAACAAAGCCATCAATATGAAAGGGGATTTCATACACAACCAAGGTGGTAAATTGTATATGGTCAACAATACTGGCCATGTGCTATAGTCGGTGCTGCATTTTCCGAAGGGGTTGAATCCATCACTTGCCAACCCAAGACGTACATTGCGCATTTCCTCACCAAATGTTGGAAATTTCAAATCTAATTGCTTCCATGCAAAGGAATCAGCTGGATGTCTTAAGTAGCCATCCTCGGGCCGAGAAAGACCATGCCAACACATATCTTCACTGGTGTGTCGAGACATGTAAAGCCGTTGCAAGCGGGGTGTAATAGGAAAATATGTTAGCACCTTCCGAGGTATTCTCTTTTTACTGCTTGGCGCTGTGTCATCTACCTCGGTTGTATATCTAGACACACCACATGTAGGACAAACATCTAAACCACTGTTATGTTTCCAATACAAAATGCAGTCATTTTCACATGCATGGATCTTTTGGTGAGGCAACATGAATTTTTTCAGCAATCCCTTTGTACTCATCACCTTCTTCGGTAAAGAATGACCATTTGGGAGTATATGTTTGAGAAGCTGAAGATTAGCTTGTACTGCACTTTCGCTGCACCCATATAAGCACTTGTTTTGAAATACTCGTATTAGGAAATCCATTTTCTTCATACCACATCCCGGATATAATTCCGTATTTGCATCTTGCACCATGGCTTCAAACTTACGTGCATATGCAGGTATTGAAACTTCCTGCTCGCTGTGATTATTAATAGGCATGCCACCCATCACACTGGGACCAGAAAATATCTTCAAGCAAGGGGCGTAGTTCAGAATGAGGAGTATTAATAGCAGCAAGTTGTTGTGCAGCTTCGCTACTTGGAAGAGGGTCACCAAATGTCTCTCCATGCCATACCCACGAGCCTTGCAAGTATGAACGGTCCATACCTTCAACAATTAGATGCGCTTCGACTTCTTTATTACTCAACCAGAACCTATTCAAGCATTTAGCACACGGACATTTGATGTTCCCCTCATGAGAAGCAACTTCCAATGAGTTTGAGATAAATTTTGCTAGCCCTGTTCTGTAATCCTCTGTAAACGGATTGAAAGAGGCCCAACTTTTGTCCATCATCACTGAGTATAATCAATAGTTTCTAGAATTGGAACAACAAGGTGCCTAAAGATGAAAAAGGCAAGTAAAATATGTAACGTAAACAAATTAAGTAAATATAGTATGTGAATACTATATGGACAGAATTTACATAAGCAACTGCAAGGGAGAGTATATTATTTTAGAAATCAATTTTTGTAAGTGGGAAAACAACTCCAATCGCATTTATGAGTGACATTGTATATATGAGTCTTGCACAGGATTTTAGGGTGCAGGGGATAGTAAGAAGGTCATAAAAGTCACCAAAAGAAGTTAAGGAAAAAGTTCATATACTGAGTAATGTCGGTCAGGCAGTCATTAGTTTAAAATGTAGAGGTATTTAGTATGTTTTGTATACAACATTTGTATAGTATTTGTAGGAATGTGGATCGTGTTTCATTCCAAATTTGTATCTATGTATAGAGGTTTAAGTGTTCCATTCTAGAATGGTTAAAAGTCCATTGTTCAAAACCTCACATATCTTGATTTGCACCATTTGATAAAAAGGCACGAATTGAAGGAAGATATATTTACCAAATGATTATTCACAGAAAAGCACAGTTAAGAAATGATTATTCACAGAAAAAACACTTTTACCAAATAATCAGGCAAGCATTTTTGAATTGTATTCATTCTAAAAAACAACTGAAACACAAGTTAAAATAAATAAACAGATAGATAGGCTTAAGCACTAGATTGCAAATATTTCCCTGAAGCTTATAAAATTAGGTGCGGAAGAAGAAGTTAGGGACAGGAAGAGATGCAGGAACCTTGAAGTGGAGTTGAAGGGATTCTTCAAGACGTAATCCGTGTACAGCTCATAGATATGTTTCAAGAGACCTTCCATGTGCTGTGTCCCAGGCTCAGAGACAACAAAGAACTTTGTCCCTGCAAATAATGAAGGTATATCATCACTTTCACAATCCAAGACATTGTAAAAATTTATAGTAAATTTTTTTCTTCCCAGGATAAATTGAACAGCCACATGAAAAATGAAATTGAGACCAACATCCTGTTCGATAAAAAAGTCCCAATTCAAAAGGAAAAAAAGCCAAGCCCAAAATAACAGACTCAATTACTCTAAAAACAGAAAACAATAAAACTTGTCAACACTGAAACAAACAGTAACTTCGTGCTGAACACTTTCTAAACCAGGCAGATGGACCCGAGTCGACATCCTAGCTACTAAACCAACTCATTCGCCTTACAAAATTCAAGTATAGCAGTTGTCAAGACGTGTAATATGTATGGTAAGCTTGTATCATTAGAGCTACTTTTTGCTTAAGAAGTATAGCAGTTGTCAAGACGTGTAATATGTACGGTAAGCTTGTATCATTAGAGCTACTTTTTGCTTAAGAAGAAAAACAAACGAGTAAAATGGTATCATAGCAGAAAGTACAGAACTCAGAAAACCCAATATTCACTACAATAATATGACGCAAGTCAAAGCGGATTGGTAGATATAGAAACTAGAAGGAGCAAAACAAAAGGTTTCACCCTTTCTATAACCAGACCAAAGAAGATCCTAATTATGTGGAAATTGATAACATCACACACAAGATCATGTAGAGGAAAACACTTGTCCATAGCCCATCTTCAAAATACAGAACCACAAGATAGATGTTGCCGTTGACACCAAATGGCTTACAAGAAAGCACCACCATTAGTTGTGTCAATTAACGGATCAACTCACTCAATCCCAATATTTAGCAGTCACCACACTTGCGAAACTCTCGTTGTGTACCCATCTTCCAAATTACAGAACCACAAGACATCTGTTGCCTAAATCGTACACTAAATGGCTTATAACAACACTGCCATTCAACTTGCTCGATGACAATATTTAGCATTCACCTCAGTTATGAATTTATTCCCCCACCCCCGGTAATAACTATCATCCGCTAGATTACATCGTAAAGTGGTCCTAAACTACTGCAATGCACAACATAACTCACAAGTAGGACTAGCAACAGATAGATAACAATAATAGGCTTAAACCCTGTATGGTTTCCAGATTGTTCCAACTTGAACAGATAGAAGAAGCACTTCAAACTGAACTAACAAAAAACTCCAACCGAATCGCAGACATAATAAACAAATTGAAATGTTTAGTCTAAAAAATGCTGAATATTGAATTTGTGGAACACAAAATTACCTGTTTAGACTCCCCAAAATCAATCCAGTTGGTTGCAACCCCAAATTGATTGCAAGAAACCCAGCTGATAATAAATAATGAACTGAGGAGCTTAATTTGCTGAGAAATTGACAGGGCAAGGTATGCGAAGCAAATACCCAGCCGCGTGGGAGCGGACTTCCGTTGACCCCTCGAGTCGCCAACTAAACGAGGCCACTAAGCTTCTTGTCCGCTACGCCCTGTCCGCATTGCCCGACTGGGACTGGTTCGCAGAACCGGTCGACTTCATCACTGATGCAATAATGGCCGATACATGCGAGTAGGGTCGAAGGCTCTGTCCTTCTACGGGTTTTGGCTCTATCTCCCTTTTGTATTAGATGTGCATCCGTAGGTCCTGATAAGCAAAGATATATCCCAGCTTTATAAACAACAATATTAACCTGCCCTGCCACACAAAATAAATTAAAAAATACATATGAAATTAAAAAGTAGAAGGAAATACAATTTAAGAAATAAAAATATTTAACAGCCACCAATGATTGGTGGCTGAATCTTGAAGGCGACCAACATCAGTGGCATCCCATGGTAAAGCCACCAAAAAATTGTAAGAGTAGCAACTTTACATATATGGCCACCAATTGCAAAGGGTGGGAAAAAAATGGTGGCCTATGAGGCAAATTCTAGTAGTGCACGCTCAAATATCATGCCAAGATTTCAGAGAACCATGTCAACTATTTATTACAACATACTGATATCGCTTCCAAAGTACATTTTACTGCCTACAAAAAAACATGTCGTTATGAATGAAATCAGTCATTATATATTGTATTTTAATCTTTTAACCTTTTCAGCTTGAGATTCTTGTATTCTTCAGCAGTATGTAACCACTGACTAGATTTTCAATTTTTAACAACACAAGATCTTTTTCAAAGATACTAAACTTTGCACAAAACTTGTAATTTAAATGGTTAAAATTGTTTACCATGCACCCAGGATTCTCTTTTGAATCTCTCTTCCTCAATATCATTTGTGTAACAATTTACTAAATTTTAATTCTTAGATGAACCTAACAATTCCCCCGCTATGCTGTGAGTTTTAAAATCATATAAAATATGTAGAAAGTTCTAAATATGTATACGATAGACAATACTATTTACATACATGTGGAAATCTATTTACAATCCCACTTACAATAAGGAACAAAATAGGTGTCCAAGGGCGGGGTTTAGAATGTTTAGCAAGTTTAGAGCAATGTTGAACTGCTCATTGTACAAAATATTCTATGACACACCCCTACCTAGAATGTCCACCTGGATTCCGAATCGAACTGTGTTGACTGACACCAAAAATGTGACGAAACC